CAGGACAATGTTGCCACAAAACTCATCATCTGGTGTAGGATAGGAGGAGAGAAAGCCTGTCAGTCTGCAGCCTGTTCTCTCAAAGGAAAATACTTTGTTTGAGAGCACATACAAAGAGAGGAGGATCCAGTTCATATTTAACTGGGCAGATCAAAGCTGCACTATTTGCTTCAGGACTGTTTATTTTGTTTTTGACCAGCTCCTCCTTCACAATGAAAAGTCCAAGGGGATTTCATATTCTYTGGGGCTTTCTGCAGAACAGGGATCTTTGCACCAGAGCTTCTGAGAAAAGCTCAGCACACGAGCTGATGAAACTTGGGGAGCTGCTAAAGGCAGAGCCGACCCTGCAGCAGGTGACCCCAGACCCCCACTCTTGTCTCAACCAGAAAAGCCAGGCCCTGGCTTTAACATCAGCAGAAATGGGGGCGAGAGGATTCCCCATTACATTTTGCTGGCTGATGCTCCAGCTTTCCCTTTCTCTGCTAATGCTCCAGCTAAACTGCAACCCAGTGCTTTCCAGCTGCCCTTGCCAAGCAGAGCTCAGGTGAAGAGCAACTGAAAGCAAAGATTGAAACCTAAGATGTCTCAGGGCATGAGGGTAAGCAAGAAGCGCTACAGTGGTTCAAGACTGCACTCCACAGAGCTAAGAAAGGCATTGCTGCCTCCCTGACTATGTGGCTGAGCCTCTGCACAGCTTCAAGCATTTTCTGTAATTGGGAGAAAACAGCAACAATCTCCAAGGGACCAGCCAAGGAGAGGAAAAAATAGCATGCAGTATTTTTGGTTTTCTCCTCTGCTACAGCCCAGCCTTGAGAAGAGGAGGAAAGAGCAGGGAAAGGCATCCAAGGCAAGGAAAGGACTGGACACAGGACAGGTGTAGGAGCTGTGACATTGGGCTTGCTTACTCTGTGCCAGCTTGCGGTGAGGCCACACAGTGAGCCTGGACTGAGACATCGCAGAGCAAACTTCAAAGTGACAAGAATTCCTTTAATTCCCTACAACAAAAAAACAGGCATGGCATGGTGTGCCCCTAGTAATGACATCCAAAAGAGATATTTTGCCAGCTGGGTCAGCAGTGGGAGCTTGCCTACTCCAAATRTGATGTGAAGAGGAGAGAGCAGCCCTGGAGGACCAACCACACTGCTTCTCGCTGGATGACTGCAAAGGACAGTTTTTTATTTCCTGTTGTGGGACGAGAACGAAGCATGGTGCCCACACATGCTGCAGCACCCTTTGCCACTTGCTGCAGCCCTGCAGAGCTCGACCTCTGCTGTGCCAGCCCTGAGCCTCTCTGAGAGCACCAGGGCACATGAGCTACACAACTCTGAGGGTTCAGTGCCTGATGGCTGCTTTCACAAAAGGTATGACCTGGGGATTTTTAACCCTCTTCTACATCTGTAAACTTCTGATGAGAGATCAGGTTTGGCTTCTGAAGTAGGATGATGCAGACCATTTTTTCCTCTTTGGAACTCCATCCAAAAAGCCATGTGCAAGCAGTGCCATGCCAGGGTCCCACAGACAAGCTGAAGGAGTTTACTAAATGCAGTGGGCTGGAGGCTGAAGCAGTCAGCAGTGACAGGGATGAGATATATCTGCCCTTTCTCAGCAAAAKCATTCCAGATTAAAAAAAATTGCCAGTGAAAACATTGCCACAATTTCTTGGTACTATGGGGTGTGCTGTAGGTCTTCAAAACAAAATGCCTCAAGGCAAAATCAGCAAAGTGAATTTTTCCTATGTCTTAGGAGTGCTGGCTGCTCATATAATGGAAATGGGAAGTCTTCAAGCAGCTAAGGTGCAGCAGGAACCGTGCCCATGATGGGGAAGCACACACATTTCTCACAGTACTCCCTCGGGGGATGCTGCCTGGAGCCACAACCTTTTTTCTACCCAGCCCTATAGGTGCCTCTGCTTTGAGATTTTTCACTATGCGTTGCTATAGGAACTTAATTGCTTCTGTTCATCCAGGTCTGAGCAGTTCCGTGCTCCCACTCCTCCTCTCTCAGGGCTGGCAGCACTCGGGCTCTGAGGACAGCAGAGGCTGCTCAGGTGCAGCAGGAGTGGGGTCATGCAGCTCAGCTAATTAGTGCTACTATTTCTGTCTCTGGCCTTTTCTCAGTTCCTATCCATCTGGGGCTCTTTTCAGTCATTACAGAGCTTTCCACCCTCTTGTTTTTTTTCCTCTCTCCTCCTCTGTCTTCCAGATTTTTGCCACTGTTTCATGTTGCCATCCAAGTTATTTGTCTCTTCTCTCTTGCTCTGGTCATGGGAACATTAGTAATGATTTTTCTGCAGAGCAGGATGGCTTAGAGACTGCCTCACAGACCTGACAGCCATCCTAGCGCTGCTGGTAAAGGCTGGAGCAGCTCAGCCAAACCATGGGAAACACTCCCTGTTTATGGTTCACCACCATCTGATCTACCCACTGCTTCTCGCCGCCGCCTGGGCCTGACTGTGCTGCGCCCGTGTGCGGGATATGGCCCTGCTCTCTGCTCCCACTCGCCTGCCGCAGCCGCCCCGCGTGTGGGGCGAGGGGAAGCGTGACTCACACGGGCCTCCCACCCATGAGTAACAGTGCTGGTCTATCACGTCTCAGCCAGCTGGGGCAGCTCGCAGGGAGGGCGGCTGCTTCCTCAGCAAGGCATGAAATAGGTCACTCCATCCCCAGAACATGGGCGAAAACAGGGGACCCAGACTGCAAGAGTGCAGCGATGAGCGGCCTCACATCAGAGGCAGGAGCAGTGCCCCGTGATGAGGGGCAGGCAAGGAGCTACACAGACATGGGCTGCAGGGATTCCTGCTAAACACCATTAGTTCTGCCTTCTTCTTTGCCCAAACCTGCTCCTTTTTTTTTCCTGGGACATGCAGGGCCAGTCCGAAGCCAGTGAGGGAAGACGGGCGGAGATGGTGGGAACACAAAGCAGTTGTGTGCTTCTCGGGGTGGAAAGAGGCCCAGGTTATTAAATAGCAGGCAATTTTAGCATGAGTTATTAATACTGGTTGTTTGTACTGGGAATTGGTGCCTAGGGGCTCCCATTGCACTAATCATGTAAAAGCTGTGTTCCTAACACAAATAGCTTGTGTTTCAGCTTGCAGAGAACAAGTCATCTCCTTCCCATTACCCTCTCTTTGAAAAAGCAGATTGAAGATTACACAGTCGAGCCCGCAAAAACTGGGAAAGGGAAAAAATTACCCTGGGCTGCCCTGCAGTGCCATTGCTCAGACCCAGCCAGCCCAGTAACCCCATCAGCGCTGTAGGCCCAAGCTGCCTGCTCTCCTCCTGCTTCTTCCCCGACCATGGCAGGCCTGGGCTCAGCATTATGGGTGATTTCTGTGTTGTCCATCTTTGGGCTAGAGTGTAGGGATGCCATGCCACCTATTTAGGGTACTTGGGGGCTGTGGGGAGTTTTTTCCTGCCTTCCTGATTAATGCTATATATCTCTACTGTGCTTTTTTTCAAGCTTTGCAAACTGCAGTTCTCTCTTGGGTACATGCCCTTCTGCTGTAAGAAACAAATTTAATGAATTAAATTAGTTCATTTACAACCTTGGCACTAAAGTACAAACTAAAGGTCAACAGCATCTGCTGATTTTGGATGGTACAAACCACAACCACCTCACTACTTTTTGTTTTCCTGGGGACTTGGCCTTATATTGAGCTTTACAACATGTAAACACAAGTCCTCCTGTCTCCAGCTGCAGCTTTGAACAGGCAGCTTTTCATCAACCCAATCCCAGGTCAGGCTGGAGGACCAGGAACATGCCTTGAGCCCCAGCCCCTCATCTAGCAGCACTCAGCTCTGGAAATGCTGTAACCTCAGTGCCTGACCTTGCACTGCCTGGCAGCACCTTTGCACCCTTAACGCAGTGAACAGCCAAGGTGCTGAACAGAGCAGAGGCCCCCAAGGCATCTCCTGCCCTCTTGACTTTCATGCTGAAGTAGATCCAGCTGGTGGAGGAGATCACCTGGAAGATGAGCGTGCAGGGGCTGGTTAGAGGTGGTGACAGTGGTGCACAGAGTGAAGAGAGGGGTTGTCGGTCCAGGTGTGGGGCTCCCTTGTGGCAGCAGTGTGCAGCACCACTGACACTTGTTCAACATGCTGCTCTGCAGCTGTGCAGGGGTGCAGGACTTTACAACATCAGCCTGTAAGGAGTGGGTGTCTCTCACCTCCCACTGCCTGCAGGCAGCTGCTTAGACTCAGAAATGCTGTGATCAGYCCTAAGCCCCTGACAGCCATGATCTGTGGTCAGCATGGATCCTGCTGCTGACACCCCAGTCCTCACAGGCCTGCTGGTCCATCATGTCTTTGTCTGAGGCCTGTTCCATCCTTGCTGCTGATCCTATTGGCTGAAGTTGTGGGGAAGGCACTGTTACACACACTCACGTCCCAAAGTGAGCCAGTGCTGAAGCACTGCCAGACTCCGGGAGAATTTTGGATTGCAGCACATAAGCTAAGGCACCCTGGCCACCAYCATGATCCCTTTCAAACTGCAGGGTGTCCCTCACCCCTACCAGGCCACTCCCAGGGCTGTCCTGCCTCGATGGCTTCTCAGCTGGGCATGCTTTAAGTCCCCATTCTACCCTTTGTCCCTCTCAAATCTTGAGACTGTGCCCAATGACAAAAGCCTAATAATGGCTGAAGAGTGAACAACAAAACCCAACAAAACAGGACACGMACCAAAAAGAAGTTAAATGAGCAAAACAATGCAAAGTTACCTCCCTTGGCCTGGGGAATGGCTCACCTATTTTCGCTGAGGAAGGACTGAGGCAGAAGCTGAGCACTGACAACTCAACAGAGTGCTCTGGCTCTTGCTAAGCTACCAGCAATGGAAACAAAAGGCTCTGAAACGAGAACAGCTCAGACASCTTAAAACCACGCAGTGCTACTTTTTCTGTTTCGTTTACCACCACTAACTAGACACCATCCATGACAACTGTGCTCAACAGGAGCTCTCATTAGGCATGTCCAGTTTTGCAGTTGACTGCGTTTAATTCTTTGCAGGTCACACCTTACGGCACCTGAATGGACACCTGCAGGTTAACCCTGCCAGGGGAACTTCTCTTCCTCCTTCCCTCTCCATGGGTGGGCAAGCCTTTGTGAGACACCTTTGGCAAGCAAGGGGTGAAAACACAGCTCTCATAGACAGCCCAGAGTTTAGCACAGCTTGGCTTCGGCCTCTGAACTGACTGCTCCTGCAGCAGTTAACCAGGTCAGTCTCTCTCCTTCTTTCAAACACTTCATCTGTGTGACACTGCATCTTCATTTATTTTTCTGTCCGACACCCATCTGCAATTTTTCTTTAGGGAGAAGGTAAACACCCTGTTTTGTTTTCCTGCCTGTATTTAAAGTGTGCATGGAGTGAARCAACAGGCTGAGAAGCACAAAGAGGGAAGCGAGCAGCTCTGAGTGGAAGTGATACAAGTGCTGATTGCAACCAGGCTTTTCAGACGAATGAAATAATAACTCCCTCCCCCAAGGAGATACTTTAGAAGCTGAAAGCTAAGAACTTAAGTACAAAGGTTTTTGTTTTTATTGACATTGTAAGAAACATTTTTCTTTCTTTGTTACAAAAAAGCTAAGTGGTTCTGAAAGCAGAAGTACAGTTCATATGTACACAGTGCTACAGACCCTTCAGATCAGCCTAAGGCTTGAGAACCATCAGATCATAACTGCAGGTTTATCAAATGAAGACCACTAAGGTCTGTTACAGCTGAACACTATTCCTACCGTACATAAATGTATTTACACATTCTCTTTGTTTTTGTTTTTTTTTTAAGAAAAAGGATTACAAGCTTTATAAAAAAAATTAAAAATTGGAAAAAAGAAGCAACACATTTTTATCTTACACATCTGCAGGACTGACAACAGTAACTGTTCCATAGGAGACATTCCACCAATCCAAGGACAATAACACGTGAATATCAGAGGTTTACAAGACGTTTTGGACACTATTAACAGTGGTATGTGCTATTAGCTGAATGGCAAGTACAGACTCATCAGAAAAATTTAGCAACACATCCTGGTCCCTCTCTTTTACAGGGTCAATGCAAAATAAGGCACATACATTGGGAGAATAGAAACACTGCTGTTCAGGAGGACAAGCCATTGCGGGACAAGCATGGGAGACCCAAGCAGCTATCTCACCGAGGGGCAGAGAAGCAGTGACTGGAAGCGAGCAGCCCACCAGCATCTTAACGCATTTGGGGCCATTCTCCAGGAGAGAATAACACTGTCTGCCATGCAGGTTTGTGGGACTGCTGTGCTCCCCAGCAAAGCCCCTGTGGAAGCCCACTGACTTCCCTGCACATGCACCTTTCCTTCACCTGGGTGTAACTGATGGATCAACTCCCACTAGCAACTTACACTCTGTGGAAAGTAAAACTGCCTGGAGAAGCACACGCTTCAGGCAGGCTGAGTATTCCTGATGTGCCTGAGGCCAACAGTAACAAATATGGAAGACTCTCACAGAGCCTTTAGAAGAAATGGCGATTTATACATAGGCTGCAATGCTTTAAAAATTGAACATTTTAGATATTTTCTGCATTTTCTTGTACTCTTGGGTGAGCAGTGGGTTTCCAACAGCTATGGCAAAAATCAGCTGGTGTGCCAGGCATACAAAAGCAAGCTTGGACTCTGTAACTGGAAGAGTAGAGGGGTGCTAGTAAACACATCCCACCAGTGTTGATGGGACTCTCCCCGGACTGCCACATGTTGAGAAGGATGGTGACAAGGGAAAGCTGGTGTCCAGCGTAACAGTGCCGTGMTCAGAGAGATCAGTCTACCTTATCAGAACAGAACCAAACCCCAAAACAGGTGGGCTAGGATGTATTGCTACCCTCACAGGTACCSAAACAAGCTCTTTAGTGTCAAACAGAAAAGCATGAGGAAACATTAAAAACTGAAAAGTGACAYGTGAAACATAAGTAGCACATACACTTAATGGTGAAAATGATAAATCATTTGCACAAACTTCCCAAGGATACAGCAGAGTCTCTGATTCTTCAATTTTGCCAAATCAAATGGGATGCCTTTCTTGATCATGTGGTTTTTGCCAAGACACACTGCTGGCCCAAGACAAGGGTAAATGAGTGACGAAGGTTTGTCAAATCCAGGAAGGCAAATTAGCTACTCAAACAGTCCCTTTTAGCCTGGAGCAATATGAATAGCTCCTTCTAAGCTCTGATGGATCACATCTGTTAATAGCTTCCCAGCATCAATTGCACCAGCAGATACAACAGATACAATAATTAACTGGGAAATTGAGTTTAAAAAATTCTTGGGGATGGTTGGATTTTTTTAAATGTATTGGCTCCATAACAATAAAAGACTTCTCTCCCAAACCACAAGCCTCCCTGTTGAAATTGTTTATAAACACATAATTGACAGCTTAATAATCAGCCAGAGATTGGTTGCTGAGAACCATCTGAAACAGTCCAACACAGCCTTTCCTCATGCCTATGGTGCTGCTTCTCCACAGGGCTGTGAGCTGTATCCCAGCACTTCAATGCCCAGCATGGACCCTGGACCATCCCTGCCCCTGGGAACCTGCACAGCGGGATGCATCCCTGTCCCAGCAGCAGGGCAGGGACAATGGTTGTGTACAGGCAGCAGGTCCTTACAGGTCCTCTGGGTAATGAGAGGGCAAGGGGGAGCAGCTTCCTAACCCTGCCACAGCAAAACAGTCATTTGCCCTGGTGAGCTGTGGCCAGCTGCCCATGCAATCCAGGGACCACTGCAGGCGGACTGGAATAGCTGGGCAGGGGCAGGGAGGCTGGGAGGGGCACTGGCGAAGACCAAAGTGCAGGATGAGGGAATATGTGTGCATGAGACAGGGGAAGAAGAAATGCTGGCTAAAAATACAGAGAAATACAGGATCATGATAAAAGGTGTAGGATATTTACATTTGTCTTGATTTCTGACATTCCAGCTCACAGTGCAAATCTCTTGATATGTGCTGTGATAAGCCCAAATATGGCCCCTGCCCCAGATTCCTATGATGTTTTCCTACTGATTTACAGCTTCATCCTCTGACTCCAACAGCTACTAACAGATTAGTGTTATCTGGCAACTTCACTGAGGTTCCATTCCTACACATTTCCTCAAATGCCATGTCCTAATCAGCTGATATTTCACCTTTATTTTATATCTGAAAAAAAGTGCTATGGCTTTCTAGTCTATAGAAATCACCTGCTAATTTTGATTTGGCTCAAGTTTATCTGTATTTCAAAATTGACGATGCTCCCTCTTCTCACTATATGTCTACTATAATATCAGCTCCTTACAGACATCAAATCCATGACTGTAAGTGCTGCACTATTTACATCCCATAGTAGGACTTTAATACTGGGATTTAACTGAGAAATCTGTAAGGGCTGGAACTCCATGCAGCTTCTAGGAGTGAGTGAACTTAAACCATGGTCTTGTGACTATTCCCCACAGCAGCCTGTTCACCCAGGAGCACTGTGTGTCCAGGGATGCAGACATGGAGCCTAGCAGAGCCAAAACCAAGGCAGTGCTTGCAGAGCAAATGCCATTCACCTCTATCACTGAGTRGCTACATGATCACAGTGCGTTGGTTTCAATTTTTTGCCGGTGTAACTGAGCCTGAGCATTGGCCCACTGGTTTGCTTTGAAATTAAATGCACGTGGTGTCACCGAGAGAGAGAGACACAGAAAGAGAAAGAAGCTGGGTTGGTCKTTCTGAGCTTTGATTAGTTGCCAGACAGCTCAGTTGGTTAGAGCATGGTGCTAATAGCATCAAAGTTGTGGGTTTGATCCCCATACAGGCCATTCACTGAAGAGCTGGAACCTGATAATAATTCCAGATCAGAATATTCTGTGATCTGTGAATACTTGCTATTCCCCTTGTTTCTTTGCTATTTTTAATGGCAGTTTAAATTTCTTAATTTTGTAAAGCCTGGACACAGTGGAAAAACATTTAAGATTATCAGATTGCTTGCAACTGCTTTGATTTATTTGGCTAGTCTGAGAACTGGGCCAGCCATTCATTTTCTACTTCTTTTATATGACATGCCCATCATGCTTTTGAAGCTGTATGTATCCATGGAGCTGTCTGGGCTAAAAGGGAGGTACACTGTTCTTCCAGCAAACAAGAATCAGCGGCTCAGTAAATTTCACCTCAATAATTTGCTTTAAAAAAACAAAAATCCCCRGTATGAAATACTGCTACTTTGTTATTTCACTGTATGAAATACTTAGTAAGACCCTGATCTATCCCCACAAAAGTGGTCTGCAATGAGAAGATTATAGACTACCCAAGTCACTAAAAACACCCATTACTTTGYTATCCAGTCATTTTAAAAAGAAGGCTGAAAGTTAGAATACCAAATACTGCAAGAGATGAGAATTGGGCTAAGAACAGCTTTCTGGTCCTCTCCTTCCTCTGAAATAGGTCGAACATGACACAATTTTAGTATYGTTATCCAAGGCAGTCACAGCTATCTCTGCATGTGTTTACAAAAACATTAAGCTTTTGCTAGACATCAAAGGGCTGATGGTTGTTACATTCCTTATTTACCTGAACCTCCTTATTTGCCTGAATATTTTGTGCTCCATGTCTCTGAAACTGCAGATCAGGTGTACCATGGCAGTGCATTTTTAAACTGGTTCTCCACCTCAGTGTGATGTGTCCAGCGCACCCAGAGAGGATTTAATCACTGTATGATCATTTCACATTCTTACTGGTTATGTGTTCAAGGGGAAAAGTTGCAACAGTTTTACAAGGTCTGGCTTTGTTTGAGTAACAGAAAATTGCCAAGTCATTTCATCAGGCCTTTCTTTACAAAACCCCCCCAAAACAAAATAAAAAAAAAACATGCACTTCACACGTTTACATTGGTTTACAATTAAAAAACAAAAGAAAAAAATAAGCATACAGACACTCAAAAAGGGTGAGAGAGAGAGAGAGAGAGAAAAGAGAGAAAGAGAGTGAATGGGCGTAGCAATACTGATTCAAAACTGAAATGGAAGACAGTTTCTCCCTAGAACACTTTAGGGTTTTCAGAGTCCTTATTCCATAAAAGGAATATACTTGAAACACATCCCATTTAGGTGAGATGAGATTGCTAAAATACATACACAACTAAAAATATGAGTCTTTTTTTTTTTTTGTCTGTTAATCTCCTAAGTGTTTTTTGTTTTTTTATGTCTATTGCATAACAGCAAGAAACTTGCTTTCTTCTGCAAGTGAGGTCAACAAAGAACTCATGTCCCCAATAGCCATGTTGGTTGTGCTTACAGGCATAGCTGGGAATGTAAGAGATGCTTGGGGAGTGGTGAGGCGTGAGGAATTGCGGGAGACATTTTGAATGATACTTGGGCTCAGGGCTCCTGAAATTAAGCTGACATGGTCCCCATCATCTATGATAGCATCAAAATCAATCTGCACACCCTCTAGACTGTTGCTGTCAAGGCTGTCAACTGTGCTTGACACTTGGTTAGCCCCTGGGGAAAGAAGCTCGGATGAGTTTTCAGTTGCAGTCCCCTGCAGCAGGCAGTTGGTTTCCGAACTAAAGAAAGAACCTGTTTTCATAGCTTGGTGGCTAAAGCCCATGGTTTGGTCATATAACTGACCAGAGTAATTCTGCGCATTAGAGCAGAACTGCTGTGATTGACCTTGCATTTCCATCTTAACGGTGTTTACCCTGTACGTCTGGTTGCCATCTCCTGCGTTTCTTTGCTGCTGGGACAGGTTGTTTCTCAACATGTTTTGCCGTCTGTTGCTGCTGTAATTAGAGCAGGACTGGTAACTTTTGGCCGCTGACAAACTTGCAGGCTGGCTACCAACGGTGTGAGACACCAGTGGACAACTCTGCGGCCCTTGATACAGGCTGCCTTGTGAGGTAGGACTAACCTGCCCTAGCATCATTTGACCGGATTGATTGACTCCCTGGTAATGAACGCCATCTCTGACTGCTTGGCTTTGCAAATATTCCTGTTCCATCATATTCCTGTTCTGCATCTCATTAGCCATAGCGGTGGCTTGATCACTGGATGCCATGGGAAGGCTGAAATTTTGCTGGTTCCCATTCAGTGTCATGTTGCTGATTCTCAGCTTCTGCCCTTGCACTGCCATGCCACAGGAATTGTCTGTCGCCCCAGACATCATTGCTTGCCTGCCCATGCTTTCACTGTAAGACTTGTTGGACTGCATGTTGAAGGAATTCCTGGCTCCACTKCCAAGCGCCATATTTTGCTGTAAACTGTAGGAAGAGTTGTTCTCCACCAGGTTCTGATAGCCATTCTGCTGGGCTATGTTGCTTCTGTCCRGGTTCTGCTGCTGAACCATCATATTGTTATACAATCTGACGGCCCGAGCCTGCTGCACTGCKGACAGCTGACCACATTTCAGCTTTGGAGGAGATAAGTCAGAACTTCCTGAGCTTACTTCATTCCACTGGATGGGCAAGTCACTCTTATTTGCCTCGGGACCTGCCTGCTGACTGCTCGGTAGAGGGGTTTGGTCAAAGTTGCTGGGGTTGTTGTTTCCTGAAACTGAGCTGAGATGCATTTTGTTGCTGTCTAGGACATTGTTCAACAAGTGGTCATACATGCCCTGATTCTGGGAATTCAGATACTGGACAACGTCATCCAGCAGGAGATCCTCATCATTCAGATTGCCATCCGCTTCCATTGCAGCAGCCTCCAGGGCAACGTTCTCACTGATGCTTGGAGGACAGGGGGAGCTGAAGCTGCGGAAGACGCCACCCTCAGAACGGGTGTAGTTCTGAAGAACAAGGTTGTGCTTTTCCGTGGATGGAGGCAAAGCAGGAGGGTTAAAGCTATTAAGACTGTTGAAACGCTGGACTCTCGGGACAGAGAGGTTGTTGGAGGTCATGCTGACTGGATCACTGGCTCTCCTCATCCCATTTCCGAAAGCTTCATGAGACAGAAAATGCCTCCTGCTGTAACCATTTGCCCCACCATCACTACATCTTCGAGGGGCATTCACTGGAGGCAGTGGAGATACTCCGGACTCCCTGCAGTCACCCAAGAGTGCCATCCTTGTCTTGAGGCTCATCCTCTCCATGTTAGGCAGTGGAGTTGGTGGGGGTCCACCAGTAGCTGCTGCATATTTCGCTTTCAGCCTATATTGCTGGGCTGGGGTGAGGCTGAGAAGACTTGGCAGGTCATCGCACTGGCTCGCTTCGCTGGAGCGCCGCGAGGCATCTGTTGAGATAGGGTCGTAGGAGTCTGCAACACTGATGTT